TTACAGCACCTGTTATTCCCAAGCGATCACCCATCTAGGTACTGACCAGGCTCGACATTGCTTAACTGAGGTGATCGTACGGGTACCGGGACGAAAGAAATAAAGAAAGGAAAAAAATCAGGCAATGAAAAAGAACGAGAGGCATATAGAAGGAAGGAAGGAAGGAAGAAAGGAAGGAAGGAAGAAAGGGGGATTGGAGGAAGGAAGGAAGGAAGGAAGGAAGGAAGGAAGGAAGGAAGGAAGGAAGGAAGGAAGGAAGGAAGGAAGGAAGGAAGGAAGGAAGGAAAATCACTGAACATTTTCATGAAAATTAAAAAGAGTTGTTTCGAATTCAACATCATAAAGTTCATTGAATGTAAGAAAAGTAGGGCGATGACATTTTGTTTTCAGTTTTCAAAAAAAAAAGGACAGATGTGATCAGAGTAAGCTCGATTACGTATGGCAGATTGAAGAAATAAACGAATGTACTGACTGCTTGGAAATAGGAATGATATACAACATCAATGTTTTAGTGGAGAACATGGTGGCCTGAATCAAGATACGAGATAAATATTAATAATCATAGATAGATAGATAGATAGATAGATAGATATGAGCATACTAAAATAGATAGAGATAGATTAGAGCAGACTAAAATAGATAAATGGATATATTTGAGTAAACTGAGATAGATAGATAGATAGATAGATAGATAGATAGATAGATAGATAGATAGATATGAGCATACTAAAATAGATAGAGATAGATTAGAACAGACTAAAATAGATAAATTGATATATTTGAGTAAACTGAGATAGATAGATAGATAGATAGATAGATAGATAGATAGATAGATAGATAGATAGATAGATAAATAGATAGATTTAATACTGATGTTATCTTATTTATATATTCCAGACCTCAGTAAAATGGCCGCGTGCATTCTCATTTACTCTATTTGGGCAGGAAAGAAATAGAAAGAAAGCGATAATAAAAATGCCAAAACGACTGAATTAATGAAGGAAGAAAACAAATTCAAAAGAAAAGCAAATGATAGCATGGAAATCACCGGAAGTTGCTCTGCTGACTTCCGGTTTAAATTATTGTTATCTAAAGCATATAGAATGCTTCAGTTAAACATTGGCCCAAAACCTTACATCGATTTATCGTAATTATTTCCTGGCTGCACCGATGCAATTTTATTGCTTGCTGATTTTCTTGAATGCCATGAAATGTGCATCCGAGTGTACGTACGTCTTGAAACATGCATCAGGTGATTAACATGATAGAAAACCACATTCTCCATAATTGCATGGCTGCTATATCTATTCGTAGTAACTTTAATGGAGAGAAATATATATTTCGAGTAACCTCACATATATATATATATATATATATATATATATATATATATATATATATTATAAATTAACTGATTTAAAAATATGGTTCCATCGCTACACAGAAATTACCATGTTTCAAAAACTAAAAACTTCAAATTCAATTATATAATAAACTTAAAGGCCCTAGTTCTGTTTCATTTTCAAGCGAATTTTTAAGAACACCGGATTATATAACTTACTGTTCTTTCTTTTATAACAGGAGACATTGGGTTCTATAGCCTTCGATGGCAACTGGTCTACGAGAAGGACAACTCTGAATTCAAAAAAAAAAAATGCGGGGATCGTTTTGGGACCTTGTATTCGGCCCTTCAAAAAGTGTGGAGGCTCCTGCACGCAACCTTAACCACTAAAATCAAATCTCATGTACTGCTAGACTGTCGGTTTCCTAGGAGCTCCAGGAGGGAGAGTATATATATATATATATATATATATATATATATATATAAATTATATATATATATATAAATCCAGGATAGAACTCAAACTCAATGTCAGGACAGAGTAAGAATATAATATAAAAGGCTCAAGCACTAATATTCCATGATGATATTTTATTACATTGGAATCGTAATCACGATCTAATTCACCAGACCTACAAATTCAAAAAGAAATTGGAAAATATAACTCCGGGTATAAAAAATAGAATTTTAGTGAGAGTTTATGTTTTGGAGTGGGAAACAAGTGTGAAAGAGAAATGAATGAAAGCTCTAGAGAGAGGGTGTAACAGAAGAAAGAAGAACAGGAAGGCCTTAAGGTGAAGGTGGGGATTAAAATTTAACAGAGAAGTGTTTAAAGAGTTAAATAACGGTTTAAATGAGTGAGATACAGATTAATATGAATTATTTTTCGATGCATAATTCGCTACCGATTCGCTGACCTAAAACTAAAATTAAAAAACAGTCACCGGAAACGTGTGGATACAATTGTGGTGACACTACGCAAAATAAAAAAAAGAATATGATCTAAACTTAAAATGCAGAAAATGAGAGAGAATAAAAAGAAAAGAAAAAGACAAATTTTCTTGATTACACATCAGTTCCCTTATAAATGCCCTCGTTTTTATTTTGCGCACCCCACTGTTTTTTCCTCTCTCTCATCTCCTGTATTTTAAATTTGTTGAAAATGAAATGCCTAAATGCAATTGTCACTTCTACTCCGACGGTTTCTTTTCTCGCACTTCCCCCCTGTAGAATTGCCTCTCTTTCCGTATAACTACAATCTTCAAAAAATTAAATGCAACGTCATTCGCCATTTTCTATCTTCTTGAATCGCGTTTTTCTTTTGCTCTTTCCACAATCCTCTCCGAGAAAATGTACGCGACCATCTATCTATCTATCTATCTATCTATCTATCTATCTATTTCAGTGTGGTCTAATCTATCTATCTATCTATCTATCTATCTATCTATCTATTTCAGTGTGGTCTAATCTATCTATCTATTTCAGTCTGTCCAAATCTATGTTTTCTCTCACTTTCCTCCTGTAACCCCCCCTGCGTACTAGTGGTATTCCCGCCTTGCTTTGGGTAAAATGATTTATATATATATATATATATATATATATATATATATATATATATATATGAATAAAATGACAAATACGTATTTTGCTTTGATAAAGTCCACATTGGACGAAACGCGTCAGCAAATACCAATTACCATTTTTTTCATAAATATTGTCTTCATACCGATTTCGGAGAAATTTTCATATAATATATATTCTATATATATATATTAAATCGGATATATATATTATATATATATATATATATATATATATATATATATATTTACCGGTCTGAAATTGAGCAGTTAGAAACTTTCGGGAGCCTAAACAGGAGAGATGAGCTTAATCGTCGACGCTGTTCGGTTAAAATCACGTCGGATCTAATGACGGTCTCTCCTACCAACGGCGACGCATGTTCGAATCCTACCGGAGGCCGCATTTTCTTTGATAAGTTTTAGCGAATGTACGAACCGTTGGACGAAAGAAAATGCTGTTTAAAATTAACGGAGCATCTACTGAAATACGGATAGCCAATAAACATAATGTTTCAAATCATAAAAATATGTCAGATTAAAAACAAAATCTTTTAATCGTTACCCGGATGGGTGTCTTTTGTCTTGATGATTTTAGTTAGTGAAATGTATTATGTTTCTTCGCTAGCTCCGCTAATGTCAGAAATAATGTCGAATTTTAAAAATATCCTTGCTTAAATTTAATCCCTATATTGGTCTGCTGATCGAATATAGTATATATATGTGAATTTCTTTTTACCGTTTTATTCTACACTGTTGTTCTTGGTTAATCATTAAAAATTACATTGTTTACCCTTCAGGTACAAAAACAATGAATAGGAGTTTTGAAAGGTACCGCTAGATGTACGTATTTCTTAATTAAGGTAATTGAACCTTGCTTCATTGTGATGTCCTTCCGCAGCTTAATGGTAAAAGCACGCCTGTCTTAAAGGCGGTTTCTCATAAAAATGAAAATACAGTTTCTGTTCTTGTCGGGAGCTAAATTTTCTTTAAGAAGAATTTCGATCTCTAGATAAGTCTGTATTAATTTCACTATTTAAAAAAATGGAATGTCTACTTGGTAATATAACGATTATTGTACACACACACACTCGCGCGCGCACGGACATACATATATATATATATATATATATATAGAGAGAGAGAGAGAAAGAAAGAACAGTAAGATATATAATCCGGTGTTCTTATAGATAGAACTGTGTAGCGAAAAAAAAACATATTTTAAATAAATCAATTTATAATATTAATATATATATATATAGATAGATAGATAGATAGATAGATATATTATATATATATATATATATATATATATATATATATATATATATATAGAGAGAGAGAGAGACTGCGAAAGATCATAGAAGAATTCTATCTACTATATTTTTTCCTAATTGGCTGTACACTCTTACAGACATGGAAATTCATCCTGAATTAGTTAAGAAACAACATGTAAAATATATTAAAGCGGTTTCTTTATTAACTATAAAAAACATGCCTAAATGAATACTTTTTTTGCTTAAATACAGCAGGATATATATATATATATATATATATATATATATATATAATTAAAAATATTATATATATATATATATATATATAATTATTTTTATAAAAAAATTATAACATAAGTATGTTATAAAATCACTACAAAAAAGCCATTTTGTTTCAAACACACTCTGTGTCTTATCAAGTGATGATGTTGAAAATAAAATAAATGGTTTTAAAAGTTTCAGATTAATTAACGATCCTACACTAGGGGAAACATTGTTACAAAAGCTAGAATAACCAATCAAAAAACGAAGTATAGAAAGATTCAAAAGCTTGACAATGAAATCCTGCTATAATAGCTATTCAGATCTTTAAATACGTGTAATATTAAAAATAATTTATACTAACTAATAATTATAAAATTATATGATAAAATTTAATATTAAAATTAAAAACTGGCAATTTTAAAATCCAAATTTAATCACTATTAAGTTTAAAAACTACAAAATTATTGAGAAAGAAAAAAATATATATGTTTATTCAATTCATTTCTTCATTGAAATTACGTTCGACAAGACAAGACGCTACAATACATCCGGTCATTTGACAATACATGTATATATATATTTTTCCCTTTTCCCCTTTCTTTTCCGTTTTTATTTTAAAGTTTGTGAATG